TTTCTCTTATTAGGACATGGTTTATTTATGAAAAATGAAAAGATCTTTTTTTTTTTTGAGACAGTCTCATACTGTCTCCTGGGCTGGAGTGCAGTGGCACAATCTTGGATCACTGCAACCTCCGCCTCCTAGGTTCAAGCTATTCTCCTGCCTCAGCCTCCCAAGTAGCTAGGATTACAGGCACCTGCCACCACACCCTGTTAATTTTTTGTATTTTTAGTAGAGACAGGGTTTCACTATGTTGGCCAGGCTGGTCTCGAACTCCTGACCTCGTGATCTGCTCGCCTTGGCCTCCCAAAGTGCTAGGATTACAGGCGTGAGCCACTGTGCCCGACCAAAAAATGAAAAGTTATCTTAACAGATGGATATGTGATGAGTTCATATCACCTCTTGGTCATTTAGATTTTCTGATTCTACTTATACATTGATTTATCTGTTGATTATTTCTCATTAGAAATTGTATACCCAGCTAAGTAGCAGGAAAAATATGTTCTATTATTCTGGTGTTTTATTCTATAAGCAACATCAGAGAGGCCCACTAGAGAACTGGATTTAAAATATAATAGGTTAATTAAAAATCAGTTACCATGTCTCAGCCGGGCGCGGTGGTTCACACCTGTAATCCCAGCACTTTGGGAGGCTGAGGTGGGCGGATCACGAGGTCAGGAGTTCGTGAGGCAGGAGAATGGCATGAACTGGTGAGGCGGAGCTTGCAGTGAGCCAAGATTGCGCCACTGCACTCCAGCCTGGGCAATAGAGTGAGACTCCGTCTCAAAAAAACAAACAAACAGGTACCAAGTCTCCTGGGGAATTTACTGACTGGCTAGAGTTTTATTTCTGGGATCTTTCTGTGCTCACTTCTTTTTCCTTCCATCTTTCCTCATTCTGATGCTGGCCACTCACTCCACAGAGGCAAGTCAAACTATTTTCTCTGGCGTGGCTTCAACTGGTTCCAGGCCAAAATGATCTTCTGAAAACTTTTCTTCATGGCCTTTATTTCTTGGCTCTTTTCATGCACTTTGCCTGATTGGTTTTGCTGGTGCTTTCCTTCTCCAGTGGTGTAAGCTATGTTGTCTTAATTGTAAGGCTGTAAAGCTCAGGTGCAGCCTCAGGCCGTTTAGACTTTCCCCAAGTACTTTTGTCCTTTCCTAGAAATTGGAGGATGAATCAGATGCTCTGTTATGAGGTATTGCTGACTCTCCTGGGATTTTAGTTTGCCAGTTGTTTAACCAGTGTGTAGCAATTTGGATTGTATTTGCAAGGTAGGACTTGTTGCCAAGACTCCGAAGTAGGTCATTGCTATTATGCTTTTTTCTCTCTAGCTTTCTTTTCCTAATATAGTACGGTATACATAGAAAAATATATATAGAGAAATATATATATAGTAATATATTTATATATTTATTATATACGTATGTTCATATAGCTTTATATTTAACACATATAGTCATAATATATATTTTCATAATAACATATATAATACCCATATATACTATAAAAAAAATTTTTTTTTGTCTAGAGACAGGAGTCCTCACTGGTGTTGGCCAGGCTAGAATTGGGCCCTCAAGTGGATCTTCCTGCACCTCCCCTGGCCTCCAAAGTGCTAGGATTACAAGGTGTTGAGCCACCCGCAACCCAAGCCCTCCTTTTCTTTGGTCTTTTTTTTTTTTCTTTTTTTTTTTTTTTGAGGTGGAGTCTCGCTCTGTCGCCCAGGCTGAAGTGCAATGGCACGATCTTGGCTCACTACAACCCCGCCTCCTGAGTTCAGGCGATTCTTCTGCCTCAGCCTCCTGAGTAGCTGGGAGTACAGGCGCATGCCACCACGCCCAGCTAAGTTTTGTATTTTTAGTAGAGACAGGGTTTCACCATATTGGCCGGGCTGATCTTGAATTCCTGACCTCGTGATCCACCCTCCTCAGCCTCCCAAAGTGCTGGGATTACAGGCATGAGCCACCGCACCCAGCCATTTTTTTTCTTTGAAACAGAGTCTCGCTCTGTCACCCAGGCTGGAGTGCAATGGCACGATCTTGGCTACTGTAACCTCCACATCCTGGGTTCAAGCAATTTTCCTACCTCATCCTCCCGAGTAGCTGGGATTACAGACATGCGCCACCATACCTGGCTGATTTTTGTATTTTGAGTAGAGACAGGGTTTCACCATGTTGGCCAGGCTGGTCTTGAATTCCTGACCTCAAATGATACACCCACCTTGGCATCCCAAAGTGCTGGGATTATAGTTGTGAGCCACCATGCCCAGCCCTCCCTTTATTTTTCAATTGAAAAATTAGCAAAGACAGAATTACCTTGTCCATGGTCACATGGTAAGCTAGTTTTATACCTTTTGAAGCAAACCTCATTTTTGTATTCCTTATACCTCTCAGTGTAAGTATTAGCTTAACAAATAACAGGTGCTTATGGCCAGGCATGGTGGCTCACACCTGTAATCCTAGCACTTTGGGAGGCCATGGAGGGCAGATCACAAGGTCAGGAGTTCGCGAACAGCCTGGCTAATATGGTGAAACCCCATATTTACTAAAAATACAAAAAATTAGCTGGGCGTAGTACTCGGAAGGCTGAGGCAGGAGAATTGCTCGAACCTGGGAGGCAGAGGTTGTGGTGAGCTGAGCTCGGGCAACTGCACTACATACAGCCTGGGAGATAGAGTGACACTCTATCTCAAAAAACAAACAAAAAAAAACCCCAAAAAAACACAAATAACAGGTGCTTATTAAATATGAATAAATAACTCATAACTGTGGGTTGATTGGGAATAGAAGTATGGTTAAAATTCAGAATTCTCATCAGATTCATCATATTGTAGACAAACAGCTGAGAAAAGTTTCTGGATGGAAGGGACAGAATAGCTGTGCATGAAGCTTTTAGTAGTGTAGAATGCCTACAAAAAAATTATTCCTGACTGGGCATGGTGGCTCACACCTGTAATCCCAGCACTTTGGGAGGCTGAGGTGGACGGATCATGAGGTGAGGAGTTGGAGACCAGCCTGGCCAATATGGTGAAACCTTGTCTCTACTGAAAATACAAAAGTTAGCTGGGCGTGGTGGTGTGCGCCTGTAGTCCCAGCTACTTGGGAGGCTGAGGCAGAAGAATCACTTGAACCCAGGAGGCAGATGTTGCAGTGAGCCAAGATCGCGCCACTGCACTCCAGCCTGGGCGACAGAGCAAGACTGTCTAAAAAAAAGGGAAAAAAAAGATCCCAGTTTAGCTCACAGCTGCAATCCCAGCACTTTGGGAACGCAAGATGGAATGATCACTTGATCACTGGAGTTCAAGACCAGCCTGTCCAACAAAGGGAGTCCTTGTCTCTACAAAAAAGTCAAAAAAATTACCCAGGTGTGGTGGTATGCACCTGTAGTCACAGCTACTCAGAAGGCGGAGACAGGAGGATCCCTTGAGCCCAGGAGTTTAAGGCTGCAATGAGCAGTGATTGTGCCACTGCACTCCAGTCTGCTGGGTGACAGAGTGAGACATTGTCTCAAAAAAAAAAAAAAAAAAAAAAAAAAAATGCTGAGGGCAGCAGCTCATGTCTGTAATCCCAGCACTTTGAGAGGGATAGTGAGAAGATCTCTTGAGCCCCAGAGTTTGAGACCAATCCTGGGCTATGTAGTGAGACCTTGTCTCTACTAAAAATAACAAAGAAATTACTGGGTATGGTGACACATGCAATGGCTATAGTCCCAGCTACTCGAGAGGCTGAGGCAGGAGGATTGTTTGAGCCCAGGAGGTTGAAGCTGCAGTGAGCCAAGATTGTGCCACTACATTCCAGCCTGGGTCACAGAGTGAGACCCTGTCTCACAAAAAGAAAAAAATAAAAATCCCAATTTAAATCATTCTAAAATGAAGAAAGAGAAAAGTAGTTTGTCTAAAAAGGAAATTGGTTATAATGTAAGGAGAAATAGGGTGAGAGTACATAAATGAACATGAATTAGTTGAGAGATAGAAACAGTTCTGGAAGCAGGCATCTTGCCAGCCTGGCTCAGACAGTAAAAATGAAAAATTTCCTCCCCTTTCCAAAACCACTATCCAGAGGGGCTATTACTGACTGTGGATACTAGTATCCAGTTTTGGGGTTGCCATGTAAAGCATGAAAAGGTGCAGTGGGGTCAGTCAGCACAAAGAATAGCTGTTCTTTTGATTTGTTAAATTCTTCTTAATAGTTTTATTGGTTTCAAATTCCAAAGCCAAAACCATTTTCTGATTCTTTTGCTGTGTCCAATTGGCTTGTGGGACCAAAGCAGCAGCTGAGACTGCTATACTACACTGTGTATTAGGCAATAATCCTTTGGAAGGCCTGGCCACTTTTCTTTTTTTTTTTTTTGAGACAGTTTTGCTCTTGTTGCCCAGGCTGGAGTACAATGGTGTGATCTCAGCTCACTGCAACCTCTTTTTTTTTTTTTTTTTTTTGAGACAGTTTTGCTCTTGTTGCCCAGGCTGGAGTACAATGGTGTGATCTCAGCTCACTGCAACCTCTGCCTCTTGGGTTTAAGCAGTTCTCCTACCTCAGCCTCCCAAGTAGGTGAGACTACAGGCATGCACCACCACGTCTGGCTAGTTTTGTGTTTTTAGTAGAGATGGAGTTTCACCATGTTGGTCAGGCTGGTCTTGAACTCCTGACCTCAAGTGATCCTCCTGCTTCCACCTCCCAAAATGTGGCCTCCCAGCTTTTTTTTTTTTTGCTTTGGGACCAGTAATTTGCATTTCATTCAGGATAACGCTTCTCCCCTCTCATTTTTTCATGCATACCTGTGCTAAGTCCTGTTCTCTGAACCTAGATCTGGCTTCTGGCTTCACTGAATTATACAAATTTTAACTATTTCAGTTTCAGACCTGTTTCTACCTTTTTGTTTGTCTTTCCCTGCTCCCTGTAGCAAACTGGTTCAGACTTGCTTGGGGAAGGGATGATAGTTTTTACTTGTTTGTTTTTTGACTCCATAAATATATTCTCTTCTTACTAATTATTCTTTCTTTCTTTGTCAAACAGGCTACCAAGCAGTTTCTCGAAGAGATTAACAAGTGGACAGTTCAGTACAATGTTTCCCCGCTGTCTTGGAATGTGGCTGTCAAGTTCCTCATGGCAAGGAAGTTTGATGTGCTCCGTGCCATAGAATTGTTCCACTCCTACAGAGTATGTTGCTCAGGGGTGGACTAGACCTGTGGCAGTTGGGCTAAGTGTTGCTGTTGTCCCTATCATGCTCGAGACACACATCGGTTCTCTAAGTGTTTCTCCCCACTCCCATAAAAAATGAATCCATATCTAGGAGCCTTTGTGAGAGCTGAAGCTGGGCAAGGCAGCTGCTGGAAGTCACTACTTTTGTATCTAAGTTTTGATTGTACACCAGGATGCCACATCTAATGATTGAGATGGAGGAAGTAGCCTGACAGCATCCTGGTGGCAGGACAGGGGTTCACCCTTCCTAGAATTTTAATCCTAGCCCTTTTCACTGGACTCTGGCCACATGAAAATCTGTTGGTTTTTAGGATGTCTAGGGCTTTTAGAAACTTGCCATTCAGATGAATGCTGAGCTTAGTGGGCAGTTTAGGAAGGGAAGTTGTTTTTTATTTATTTTTTTATTTTTATTTTTTTTAGGAAGGGAAGTTTTAACCCTGGAAAAGAAGAGCAACTGCATATTAGCTAGGTCCATTATCTTAAGCATCTTTATGCAAATGTAGCGGCATCTGGATTTTACCTTGTTCTGATTTTTGTTTTTTGAGGGGGCACACACTTTGGTTTTGTGCTTCTGTTTGCTTTCTCAGTTTGTAGTGTCTTTGATAAAACACTATACAGCATGTTACTTTGGGGTCAGAATCCTTCTAAAGAAATACAAAATCTCCCTAAAAAAAATTACTGGGATAACAAGCACTAGGATTAGCTTAACTGAAGTTCGGTTACATCTATGTTGTGGACCAACTCATTCAATATTTATTCATTTACTCAACAGATACTTATTTTATACTTACTGTGTTCCAGGGGCAGAGATTACTATTTAGAAAGAGAGACTAGGGCTGGGTGCAGTGGCTCATGCCTTTAATCCCAGCACTTTGGGAGGCCAAGGCAGGTGGATCACTTGAGGTCAGGGGTTTGAGACCAACCTGACCAAAATGGCAAAACCGTATCTCTACTAAAACTACAAAAATTAGCTGGGTGTAGTGGCACCCACATTTCCAGCTACTCAGGAGGCTGAGGAAGGAGAATCACTTGAACCAAAGAAGTGGAGGTTGCAGTGAGCCGAGATCACACTATTGCATTCCAACCTGGGCAACAGAGTGAGACTCTGTGAAGGGAGGGAGGGAGGGAGGGAGGGAGCTCAAGTGATCTGCCCACCTCAGCCTCCCAAAGTACTGGGATTACAGGCGTGAGTCACCGTCCCCAGCCTAAGAGGTTTAAAAACAAGCAGTTGATGAAATAGGACAAACCAAGATAATATTTTTTTTGTTATCGATATGTAAAGGTAGAGAATGTCTCTGGAGAAAGGAAATGTAAGTGGTCAACCTTGTCATTTAAGAGGAGGACTGAAGAGGCAGGGTGCGGTAGCTCACACCTGCAATCCCAGCACTTTGGGAGGCCGAGGCAGGTAGATCACTTCAGCCCTAGAGTTCGAGACCAGCCTGGGCAACATGGCAAAACCCCGTCTGTACAAAAATTAGCCAGGCATGGTGGCATGTGCCTGTAATCCCAGCTACTCAGGAGGCTGAGGCAAGAGAGTATCTTGGATGCAGAGGTTGTGGTGAGCCAAGACCATGCCACTGCACTCCAGCCTCGGCGACAGTGTGAGACTTGGTCTTGATTGAAAAAAAAAAAAAGAAGAATGTGGTCATCAGAGTGAGGAAAATGAAGTCGTCGTAGCTGCTGTTGGAGACAATATCAGGTGGAGAGAAGACTCCTATTTAAACATAGGAGAGGCCTAAACCTAGAAAATGTGTGAGGATGTATGCGTCCAGACATTTTTGAGGTCCATATTTTAGTGTCCTGGTACCATGTCAGTGCTGCTGCATGTTTAAGAACCTTGATCCTGCACCTGAATGTAACATACTGGTTACTCTTCAGGGTTAGGATTAGGATTCTTACTGAGTCAGAGAAAAATACCCTACCTGAGGGGCTGATAAAGTAGATTTGGACAGGAATTCTGAAAATGCTTGGCTGGCTTGGAGGCAGTTTACAAAGAAATTCATAATCCATTTAGTTGACTTCATTATTCATTTAGCTGAATTCTTTTTGTTTTTTGTTTTTTTTTTTTGAGACAGAGTCTCATTCTGTTGCCCAGACTGGAGTTGCAGTGGTGCTATCTTGGCTCACTGCAACCTCCACCTTCTGGGTTCAAGTGATTCTCCTGCCTCAGCCTCCTGAGTAGCTGGGATTATGGGCACGCACCACCATGCCAGGCTAATAGCCGAGACAAGGTTTCACCATGTTGGCCAGGCTGGTCTGGAACTCCTGACCTCAGGTGACCTGCCTGCCTCAGCCTCCCAAAGTGGTGGGATTATAGGCGTGAGCCACCGCACCCGGCCCATTTAGTTGAATTCTAGTTCAACTAAATGAAGTAGAGTTAGTTATGAAATTTATTTAGTTATGAAATTTATAATTCATTCATTCACTGATAACCACCTTATCTCTGAGATTTGGTGGTTACATGGCACTGTCCTGAATATACAGTATTTTCATATTAATACATTTTGGAATGCTTCCTTTTTAGGAAACGCGAAGGAAGGAAGGCATTGTGAAGCTGAAACCTCATGAGGAACCTCTTCGTTCTGAGATCCTCAGTGGAAAATTCACCATCTTAGTGAGTGTTTAGGGACCCTATCTCGTAGGGCCTTATTACTTCCTTTTTTAACTGGTGTCCTGTTTGGACTTTGTTCCTATATACCTTATCCTGAATCTAGAGAGTCTCCACAGTTAGGAGCAGATGTGAAACAGCCATGCAGTTTGGTATAAAATTATTTTAGTAACAACTGAATTACTAATAGTTTCTAGTAATTACAGTTATGAATGATAATTGAATAATTAAATTATGGAAAATCAGTTGTACAGTAGACTTAGAAAAGTTTCTTCAGTTGGTCCATTAAGGTTAATCATGGTCTTTGGGGTAGGTATGCAATGTGTCAGACACCCATGCTTCCATACTTAACACAAGCTCTCCACTTAGTTGAGACCTCAGCCTTTCAAGTAAACATACAATGGCACTTTTAAGGCAGAGGGTGGAAATCATGATCCTGTTCCCTGGTTCTCTGCTGCTGCTTGTTTCTTTTGCCATTCTGCCAGGGAAGTTAGCTAGGAAGCCGGTGCAGAGCCATCCTTTGATCTGTCTGCAGTTGAAGAGCAAAGAGAATGTGTGTTTTTTTTTTCTTGTCACAGAAATATGGTCCAGGGAGTCCTGAGAGAATCAGGCAAGGGATGATATTAACATTCTTCCCTTTGGGGAGCAATTGGTGAAGTCAGGGAATTATTCTTAGCATCTGTTTTCTACATGTATCAAACCCTTATCCAGTGTATGTCTTAGTAATTGCTGTGATTTTCTATTTGATTTTTTAAAATGTTTCTTGTTTTATTTGCTTTAGAATGTTCGGGACCCAACAGGAGCCTCCATTGCCCTCTTTACTGCCAGGTTGCATCATCCCCACAAGTCAGTCCAACATGTGGTACTTCAGGCTCTGTTTTACTTGCTAGACAGAGCTGTGGATAGGTAAGCACTGAGACTATTTTTTAGGTATTCTACATGCAGGTAGGAAAGTGACAGTTTTTTACTTGATTAAATTCAGCAGTGCCTTCACCATTCTCCTAGGATGTGCCCTGGGCAATGCTATGAATAGAAAACAGTCCCTGTCCTTCAGGATGCGGCATGTTTGCAGGCATTATCAAGATGGTGGGTGTTCTTTTTTTTATTTTATTTTATTTTTATTTTTATTTTTATTTTGAGACAGAGTCTTGCTCTGTCACCCAGGCTGGAGTGCAGTGGTGTGATCTCAGCTCACTGCAAGCTCCACCTCCCAGGTTCACGCCATTCTCCTGCCTCAGTCTCCCGAGTAGCTGGGACTACAGGCACCTGCCACCGCGCCTGGCTAATTTTTTTTATTTTTAGTAGAGATGGGGTTTCAACGTAGTCTCGATCTCCTGACCTCGTGATCTGCCCGCCTCGGTCTCCCAAAGTGCTGGGATTATAGGCGTGAGCCACCGCGCCTGGCCGGTGGGTGTTCTCTTTACCACCTTGGCTCTATGTCAGGAAAACAGAAGCTGAGAAAGTCAATTATCGGCAATCTTCAGTGTATGGAAAACTACTTATTGGAAGAGAATGAAGGGGAGGTGACCTGTGCTGGTTCTTTTTGCTCATATCAGAACCCTCTAGGGCCTCAGTTTCTTTGTCTGCATAACAGGAATAATGCCATTTAGTTCAGAGGATTTTGAGACTCAACATTCAGGGGAGGGCTGGGTGCAGTGGCTCACACCTGTAATCCCAGCACTTTGGGAGGCTGAAGTGGGCGGATTGCTTGAGGCAGGAGAATGACATGAACCTGGGAGGCGGGGCTTGCAGTGAGCCGAGATCATGCCACTGCACTCCAGCCTGGGCGACAGAGCGAGATTTCGTCTCAAAAAAAAAAAAGAAAAAAAAATGGATTGGTAAACAGCATATACTTTTCTATCAATCAGTGCTACAGTTCCATCTAGAAGTCTTCTGGGATATAGGGCAGCCCAGCAGAAGATACACAGACAAAATAACTCAGAACCCAGGTTCTTAAAGGAGCAAGGAAGTTCCTTTAAGCAATGTGTAATTAAGAAAAGAGAGTGCTCAAGTTAAAGAAACTTAAGGAAATCCTGGGGAAGTCTGAACTTAGAGCAATTGGAATTAACAGAGATAGAGAGCTCTCTAAAAGCAGAAGGGCCTCCAAGGAGGAAGCCATCAACCATATCCACACCAGATGTTTGTGAGGCAGTAGAAGCAAGGGACAAAGGCTCAGAGTCAACACCAAGAAGAAATGGACATGTTTTGTAACCACATCTTACTTAGGGCTTTACCTTCTCTTAGTATTCCTTAGTAAGGAGGGTCTAAGCATGAAAAACAGAACTGTCTTCTATAGTATTTGGGATTTCATATCCATTTTATACTGAGTCTTATAAAATTCCGTAACATAGATTTAATCAGTCTCAATCTTTTTATGTTCTCTTTATAAAACCTCAAGTTAATAAAGTCTTCTGAGTACTAAGACTGATCACATAGATCTAAACTCAACTGACAATGAAGTCAGGATTGAGATATCCATAAATGGGAAGCCAGGTGAGCAATCCTTCTTTCCAGAATGGTGTTTTAACAATAAGCTGTATTCCCAAATGAGGTTTTTTTGTTTTGTTTTGTTTTGTTTTTGAGACAGAGTTTTGCTCTTGTTACCCAGGCTGGAGAGCAGTGAGCAGTGGTGTGATCTCAGCTCCCTGCAACCTCCACCTCCCGGGTTCATGCAATTCTCCTGCCTCAGCCTCCCAAGTAGCTGGGATTACAGGTGCCTGCCACCATGCCCAGCTAATTTTTGTATTTTTAGGTTTCACCACATTGGCCAGGCGGGTCTCGAACTCCTGACCTCAGGTAATCCAACCACCTCAGCTTCACAAAGTACTGGGATTACAGGCGTGAGCCACCATGCCTGGCCCCAAATTAGCATTTTACATGCTACACAAGGTATTAGCTCTGTGGGGAATATAATGGGAAGGTCATTACTTTCATGGACCTTCCTGTCTCTCTGGGCAGGCAAATTTAAAAAATACAAAACTCCAAACTTTTTGCACATTTCTAGTAGTGAAGAACAAGTAAAAATTCACAAATCTTTATTTATAAATAATAAACATTAATTACCACATTAATATAGCCAATATAAAACATACAAAAAAGAAATGCAGATTATGAAAAATTTTTTTTAAATTTAACTTTTGGCCAGGTGCAGTGGCTCACGCCTATAATCCTAGCACTTTGGGAGGCCGAGGCAGGTGGATCCTACTTGAGGCCAGGAATTGAGACCAGCCTGGACAACATGGTGAAACCCTGTCTCTGATAAAAATACAAAAAATTAACTGGGTGTGGTAGTGTGTGCCTTTAGTCCCAGCTTCTTGGGGGAGGTGGGAGAGGTTGCTGAGGTGGGAGGATCACTTGAGCCCAGAAGGGTGAGGCTGTAGTGAGCCATGATCACGCCACTGCATTCCAGCCTGGGTGACAGAGCGAGACCTGTCTCAAAAAAAAAAAACCACAAAAAAGCCCACACAAAACAAACAACAACAACAAAAAACATTTAGGGAGAAGTCCAAAAGTATCAAGTTAAGCAAAAACCATCCTTAATAAAAACAGGTGCATAAGCATAAAGAACGAGCTCAGGTCATCACTCTCTCCCTGCTAAGGTAAATGGTATTGTTACAATTCAATTGACAATTAAACTCAAGTCCCAAGAAGGTTTTTACAGTCATCACATGTTAGTCCAGCTGGTTCTAAGATCCTGGTTTCTTCACTCTTGGGCAGAGTTATTTCTATCCTCTCACGCTGTTGTTCTGCTATTTCTTTTTCCCTGGTGCTTGCAATTTACAGTTTCTTACTGCTCTTGACATCTTTGGCTGGTCCTCCGGCTTAGAAGTGCTATATTGAGGCCAAGTGCATTGATTCATGCCGGTAATCCTAGCACGTTGGGAGGCTGAGACCGGCAGATTGTCTGAGCCCAGGAGTTTGAGACCAGCTCTGGGAAACATGATGAAACCACCCATTTCTTGAGGGCAGGGAACTTTCTTTTTAGCATATATAATGGAAAATATCTGAATCTCTGTATGTAGAGAGAGAATGGTATCATGAACATCCACATATCCATCATCCATCTTCTTCAAAGTGATCTGTAACCATCTTGTTTCATTGATAGCCTCTCATGGATCTCCTATCCTCAGTTTCTTTCTTTCCTTTTTTTTTTTTTTTTTTTTTGAGACTAGGTCTTGCTTTGTCACCCAGGCTGGAGTGCAGTAGCATGATTGTAGCTCACTGCAGCCTTGAACTCCTGGCCTTAAGTGATCCTCCCATCTTGGCCTCCCAAAATGCTGAGATTACAAGCATAAACCACTGCATCTGGCTTCTCAGTTTTTTAAAAACAAATGTCAGGGACTGTATTTTAAACTTCTTGGTGTTTTCTGTAACATGTAGCTCAGGAATCAAACTCAGTAGGGAATCAGTCAGCTGTCATTGTAAATTTTTTTTTTTTTTTGAGTCAGAGTCTCACTCTGTCCCCCAGGCTGGAGTGCAGTGGCGCTTTCATGGCTCACTGCAAGCTCCGCTTCCCAGATTCATGCCATTCTCCTGCCTCAGCCTCCTGAGTAGCTGGGACTACAGTGCTGGCCACCATGCCCAGCTAATTTTTTTGTATTTTTAGTAGAGACAGGGTTTCACCATGTTAGTCAGGATGGTCTCGATCTCCTGACCTCGTGATCCACCCAACTTGGCCTCCCAAAGTGCTGAGATTATAGGCGTGAGTCATCGCGCCCGGCCCATTGTAAATCTTAAACTGGGTGCAGTGGCTCATGCCTGTAATCCCAATGCTTTGGGAGGCCAGGTGAGAGGATCGCTTGAGTCCAGAAGTTCGAGACTAGCCTGGGCAACATAGCAAGACCTCGTCTCTACAAAAAGTTTAAAAATTAGCCAGCTGGGCATGGTGAAGTTTGCCTGTAGTCCCAGACACTCACAGAAGGCTGAACTGGGAGGATCACCTGAGCCCTGGGAGGTTGAGGCTGCAATAAGCCATGATTGTGCCAGTGCACTACAGCATGGGCGACAGAGCAAAATGTTGTCTTAAAATATATATATATTCTGGTGGCTGATGCCTGTAGTCCCAGCACTTTGGGAGGCCAAGGGGTTGGATCTCCTGAAGTCAGGAGTTCGAGACCAGCCTGGCCAATATGGTGAAATCCCATGTCTACTAAAAATACAAAAAATTAGCCGGGCATGGTGATGGGTGCCTGTAATCCCAACTACTCAGGAGGCTGAGACAGGAGAATCGCCTGAACTTGGGCGGAGGTTGCAGTGAGCAGAGATCGCACTATTGTACTTCAGCCTGGGCAACAAGAACGAAACTCTGTCTCAAAGAAAAAAAAAGTGTGTGTGTGTGTGTGTATATATATATATGTGTAATATATACACACATATATAAACACACACACATCTATCTGTCTGTCTATTCTATACCCTAAAGTGTAAAAATCTTACTGCATTCATGTTTTATGTGCCTTCACAGGATGAGCACTTTGATCTGGGAATATAGAACCTAGATCATTCATTATGCATCCAAGCTTCTTTTTCTTAAATTCTCTTTGCCCCCTTACTGACTTGTTTTTGTTTTAGTCCCCTGCCACAAGCTGGAGTCATGAGCGGAGAGCCCATAAGTTGAATTTGACCCTTTAGGAGCTCATGGAGAAATAGAAAGTATCTAGATCTGGATAGCCTATTCAATACTTGTGCCACACATTTTCTTTGTTTCTTTTTAGTAGAGACAGAAACCCTGTCTCTACTAAAAATACATTAGCCAAGTGTGGTGGTGCATGCCTGTAGTCCCAGCTACTCGGGAGGCTGAGGCAGAAGAATTGCTTGAACCCGGTCGGCGGAGGTTGCAGTGAGCCGGGATCGTGCCATTGCACTCCAGCCTGGGTGACAAGAGTGAAACTCTGTCTCAAAACAAAAAACAATAACTTTGAGATTTCAGGAATGTATTTTGTGCCAAACATTTTCTCAATTCTAAATAGATGTGAAAACTGTTGCTGTCATCTGTGAGTAGTCCAATCAAATAATTTATTCCTAATGACCATTTGGGTCTACAAATCACATATAATACGTACGAATCTGGCTTGGTGGAAGAGTACATCTTTGAGAAATCTTTATAAATCTGGGAAATTGGACTGAGGAATACTTTCTATATCTTCAAATGTTCCTAATTTTGGTCTGGGAATAGGCTTACTTTTTTTTTTTTTTTTCCCCGAGATGGAGTCTCACTCTGTTGCCCCGGCTAGAGTGCAGTAGTACAGTCTCGACTCACTGCAACCTCTGCCTCTTGGGCTCAGGCAATTCTCCTGCCTCAGCCTCCTGAGTAGTTGGGATTACAGGCATGTGCCACCATACCCGGCTAATTTTGTATTTTTTGTGGAAATGGGGCTTCACCATATTGGTCAGTCTGGTCTCGAACTCCTGACCTCAGGTGATCCACCCGCTTCTGCCTCCCAAAGTGTGGGGATTACAGGTGTGAGCCACCATACCCGGCCATGGCTTACTATTAATACCTGTTAATCTACTTTTTTTTTCCTTCCTTTCCCTTTTTTTTTTTTTTTTTTTTTGAGACGGAGTCTCGCTCTGCCGCCCAGGCTGGAGTGCAGTGGCCGGATCTCAGCTCACTGCAAGCTCCGCCTCCCGGGTTCACGCCATTCTCCTGCCTCAGCCTCCGGAGTAGCTGGGACTACAGGCGCCCGCCACCTCGCCCGGCTAGTTTTTTGTATTTTTTTAGTAGAGACGGGGTTTCACCGTGTCAGCCAGGATGGTCTCGATCTCCTGACCTCGTGATCCGCCCGTCTCGGCCTCCCAAAGTGCTGGGATTACAGGCTTGAGCCACCGCGCCCGGCCTTTTTTTTTTAAATAGAGTCATGGTCTTGCCATGTTGCCCAGGCTGGTCTTAAACTCCTGGGTTCAAGTGATCCGGCTGCCTTGGCTTCCCAAAGTGCTAGGATTAGAGGCATGAGCCACTGCACCCAGCCTTACTTTTTCTTAAGATAAGATCTCACTCTGTCTCCCATGCTGGAGTGCAGTGGCATGATCTCACTGCAGCCTCGACCTCCTCACTCAAGCGACCCTCCCACCTCAGCCTCCTGGGTAGGTAGGACTATAGGCACAGGTCACTACATGATGAGGTATTGTCCTGTTGCCCAGCCTGGTCTCAAATTCCTGGGCTCAAGCTATCCGCCCTCCTTAGCCTTCCAAAGTACTGAGGCTACAGGCATGAGCCACCATGCCGCCTTAATCTACTTTTTAGGAATGCTTTCCAAAGGCCATTTATGGGTTTGTTGTCTTCCTCTATTGGGTCGTAAGAGACAGATTTACTATCAATGAGCTTAGAGGCATTCTTGTTCTACACAGTTTTCCATAGGTCTGAAATATTTTCTTAGAGATGGGCTTCCAGTCTACTGAATTACAATTCAGTGACCATTTATTTTTAAGGGCTGTGCTAGGGACTATTGGGTGTAATGAGTTGAACAAGTTCTTGTCCTTTAGGACAGAATCAGATGGCTACACAGAGTATATTAAGGCCACAAGAAAAATCCACAGAAAGATTTATGGGGCTTTAAAGGAAAAAATGATCGGTAGCATATTTGATTACAGTTACCAGCGAGACTTTCATGGAAGAGGAAACTTTGGGGTTGAGTACGGAATACATTACAGGACTTGGGTAGGTAGATTCAGAGGGGTGGGAGAAAACAGTTCAGATTTTGATAACTTAGTTGCTGTAGATCATTCTCAACCTACGAGTTTGGCATTTGGTAAATCTGGATAAATCTGCCTTAATAAACATAGCAGATACAAAAGATAAGAGATCTTTTTGTAAGACCAATGTGCAGTCAGGCAGTTGTTTTGATCCTAGATGTTTCATACTCTCGGGTTTTGTTTTGGCATTAGGCTTTCAACCTGCCTCATCCATTTTCTTACTTACAAATGTTTTTGTTCAATGGTTGATTTACAGCTTTGAAACTCAGAGGAATGGACTCGTGTTTATCTATGACATGTGTGGTTCCAATTATGCCAACTTTGAGCTGGATCTTGGCAAGAAAGTCCTAAACCTGCTGAAGGTAAGGCTATGGAGGGCCCTCTCAACTTTCCTTCAATGCTTGGGATTTTTTTTTTTTTTTTTAATTATTTGGGAAAAGATTTAGGAAAGATGCAAACTTCAGAAATTATGTTCAATGTAAAGGCCGTCTGTAAATGATGACTACTCTCTGCTTCCATAGAACAAGAAATGACCTTAAAAGTGAAGTGGGAGAAATTAAGGTAAAAAATGCACAGGAACGGCTGGGCATGGTGGCTCATGCCTGTAATCCCAGCACTTTGGGAGGCCGAGGTGGGTGGATCATGAGGTCAAGAGATCAAGGCCATCTTGGCCAACATGGTGAAACTCTGTCTCTACTAAAAACACAAACATTAGCTGGGCATGGTGGCGTGTGCCTGTAGTCCCAGCTACTTGGGAGACTGAGGCAGGAGAATCGCTCAAACCTGGGAAGTGGAGGTTGCAGTGAGTGGAGATCGCGCCACTGCGATCTCGAGACAGAGTGAGTCTGGCAACAGAGTGAGACTTCCTCTCCAAAAAAAAAAATGCACAGGAACATTCTGAGTCATAAAAGTGGAATGGGCCGGGTGCCCTGACTCACTTCTGTAATCCCAGCACTTTGGGAGGCTAAGGCACACTTATGTGTATAAGGTGTATATGAAACATACATGCCGGGCGCGGTGGCTCAAGCCTGTAATCCCAGCACTTTGGGAGGCCGAGATGGGCGGATCACGAGTTCAGGAGATCGAGACCATCCTGGCTAGCACGGTGAAACCCCGTCTCTACTAAAATACAAAAAAAATTAGCCGGGCGAGGTGGCGGGCGCCTGTACTCCCAGCTACTCGGGAGGGCTTGAGGGCAGTTATGAGGTAATGGCGTTGAACCTGGGAGGCGGGGTTGCAGTGAGCTGAGATCCGGGCCAACTGCTACTCCGCTCTGGGCAAGCAGAGCCCCAGATCTTGCTTGTCTCGAAAAAAAAAAAGAAAAGAAACATCATAGAATTTTAGGCTGAGCGCGGATCACGCTTATAATTCCCAGCACGTTTGGGGAACCAAGGCGAGTGGATCACAGAAGTCAGGGAGATCGAACCACCTTGGCCTTAACAGGTGATAAACCCCCATCTCGCTAAAAAAAAAATAGCCTGGTGTGTTGGTGGTGGGCGTGCCTTGTAGTCCCAGGCTCTACCGGGAGGCTGAGCAGTGAGAGGAATGGTCATGAGACTGTGATGGTGGAGGGTTTCTGCAGTGAGCCAACTATTCTGCCGACTGCACTCCAGCCTGGGGACAGAGCGAACTCGTCTCAGAAAAAAAAAAAAAATAAGAAACATACATAAATTTCCTGCTTAGACTTGGGTCCCATCCCTAAGATATCTCATTATGTATATGCAGATATTCTAAAATCTGAAAAAAATTCAAAATCTGAGACACTTCTAGTCCGAAGTATTTTGGATAAGGAATACCCAACCTGTGTTATGAATGGTGCTGTTATGAACATTCTTAAACATGTTTTCTGGTGCATATGTGTAAGAGGGTCTCTAGGGGAGTGTTTCTCAACCTTTTTTCATTGTTGCCTCACTAAGGAACCTTTTTCAGTATTTTTTTCCCCTAATAATTCCTCTTCTAATGAAATTTAAATACCATAGATATACTGCATATCTCTATGTACTCTTTAAAATTTATTTATATTTTATTTATTTATTTTTTTTGCTCTTGTCGCCCAGGCTGGAGTGTGGTAGTGCAATGTCGGCTCACTGCCAACCTCCAGCTCCTGGTTCAAGTGATTCTCCTGCCTCAGCCTCCTGAGTAGCTGGGATTATAGGCGCCCACCACCACGCCTGGCCACTTTTTGTACTTTTGGTAGAGATGGAGTTTCTCCACGTTGGCCAGGCTGGTCTCAAACTCCTGACCACCGCCTCGGCCTCCCAAAGTGCTGGGATTATAGGTGTGAGCCACCACGCCCAGCCTAAATTTATGTATGTTTCATATACACCTTATACACATAAGTGTGCCTCAGCCTCCCAAAGTGCTGGGATTACAGGAGTGAGTCAGGGCACCCAGGCCATTCCACTTTTATGACTCAGAATGTTCCTGTGCATTTTTTTTTTTTTTTTTTTTTGGAGACGAAGTCTCACTCTGTCGCCAGACAGGAGTGCAGTGGCGCCATCTCGGCTCACTGCAACCTCCACTTCCCAGGTTTGAGTGATTCTCCTTATTTTTTAATAGAGGCAGAGTCTCGCTATGTTGCCCAGGGTGGTCTTGAGTTCCTGGGCTCAAGCAGTACCACCTCCTTGGCCTCCCAAAGTGCTGGGATTATAGGTATGGCCTCTGTGCCTGGCCTCTTTATGTACTCTGTATACATAAAAAGAGTAAGATTTCTTTTTTTTTTCCCCTCCCCCGAGATGGAGTCTCGCACTGTCGCCCAGGCTGGAGTGCAGTGGCATGATCTCGGCTCACTGCAAGCCCCGCCTCCCAGGTTCACGCCACTCTCCTGCCTCAGCCTCCCAAGTAGCTGGGACTACAGGTGCACACCCCCACGCCCGGTTAATTTTTTTGTATTTTTAGTAGACAGGGTTTCACCGTGTTAGCCAGGATGGTCTCAATTTCCTGACCTCGTGATCTGCCCGCCTTGGCTTCCCAAAGTGCTGGGATTACAGGCATGAGCCACCGCACCCGGCCCGATTTCTTCTTTTTTTTCTGGCTCACCTCACCCTGTTCTACTAATTTTACCCCTTTGGTGAGGTGATATCTCCCCCATTGAGAATGCATGCTCTAGGGTATACACCTAGGAGTGGATTGTTGGGTCCTAAAGTCTGTGAAGATTTAACTTTATAAGACAATGTCAAACTGTGTTTCAAAGTGGTCGTACCCCCTTGCCATGTGTAATGATTTCCGTTGGTCTGCATCCTCTTCAGCACTTACTATTGTCAGATTTCTTAATTTTTTTCTCAATCAAATGGATATGAAATGGTATCTTGTGGTATAGCTTGCATTTCTTTTATTAGTGAAATTAACTATCTTTCATATATTTGTTAGCTGTATATTTTTTCTTCTTCTGTGAAATGTCTATTTATGATTTCTCCATTTAGGAATTAATAGTTTTTAATATATTATTGATTCTAATCCATAAAGATACATATATATACACACATATAATGTGTGCACACAGTAAACTGTCTCTTAATTTATAGCTTGTTTTTTCACTTTTTATGAAGTTCTTTGATTAACAAAGTTCTTTTTTTTTTTTTTTTTTTTTTTTTTGAGACCCAAGTCTTGCTCTGTTGCCAAAGCTGAGTGCAGTGGCACGATCTTGGCTCACTGCAAACTCTACCTCCTGGGTTCAAGCAGTTCTCATGCCTCAACCTCCTGAGTAGCTAGAATTACAGGCATGCGCCACCACACCCAACTAATTTTTGTATCTTTTGTACAGATAGGGTTTCATCATGTTACCTAGGCTAGTCTCAAGCTCCTAAGCTCAAGCAATCCAGCCACCTTGGCCTCCCAAAGTGCTGGGATTACACACGTGAACCACTGTGTCCGACCCACAGAACTTAGTTTCATGCAGTTTTTCAATATTCCAGCCCTTTTCATGGATGGGGTTACCATGCAACACTGGCGGTCTAACTAGGAAGAAATCGTTTCCAAGAAATCCAAAAGAAAAAAAAAAAAAAGAGGAATTGTAGCTAGTATCTTCTAGCCTACTCTTTTTGCCACTTTTTTTTCTTTTTTTTTTTTTTTTGAGAGAGAGTTTCGCTCCTTTTCCCATAATAGAGTGCAGTGGTGCTATCTCGGCTCACTGCAACCTCCTCCTCCCAGGTTCAAGCGATTTTCCTGCCTCAGCCTCCCAAGTAGTTGAGATTACAGGTACCTGCCACCATGCCTGGCTAATTTTTGTATTTTTAGTGGAGACGGGATTTTGCCATGTTGGCCAGGCTAGACTCGATCTCCTTACCTCAAGTGATCCACCAGCCTTGACCTCCCAAAGTGCTAGGATTACAGACGTGAGCCACCGTGCCCAGCCCTTTTTGCCACTTTCAAAAGACTGATTCTTTTTTGTTGTTTGTTTGTTCTGAGACGGGGTGTCTCTCTGTCCCCCAGGCTGGAGTGCAATGGCATGATCTCCGCTCACTGCAACCTCTGCCTCCTGGGTTCAAGTAATTCTCCTGCTTCAGCATCCTAAGTAGCTGGCATTACAGGTGCCTACCACCACACTCGGCTAATTTTTAGTAGTGATGGGGTTTCACCATGTTGGCCAGGTTGGTCTCGAACTCCTGACCTCAAGTGATCTGCCCACCTTGGCCTCTCAAAGTGCTGGGATTACAGGTGTGAGCCACCATGCCCAGCCTCAAAAGACTGATTCTCAGTCTGACAGGTCACTCTGTTCTCTTCAGTTTTCCTTTAGTTCTACTGATTTGGGGAATCCCCAGCACTCCTCTACGGCGAATATACAGCATCTAGAACAAACTTCTCCAAAGGCCTCTTCACTGAAGTGTGATAAACTACTTTCATCTTTTCCTTCAAAGATGCAACAATTTATTTCAGGGCCTAAATGTCCAAGGTCCTTTTAACACCAAATCAAAAACCATTCTAGGGAAACACCTGTTATTTCCACAAAATGATAAATAGAAAATAGAAGCTATTACATCTGTTTTTTCAGAGCAAAGAACTACAGACTCAGGCCTAGTCCATTTGCATGACTGTCTGGGGGTACCTGCTGCAGTCACGAGAGATGGGTGGCAGCTTGGTCAGTGGAGAATAGCCTGCAGCGTTCTCCTGTGGTTATAAAGGATTTACCCCTGAATCCCAAACCTTTCCTCAAGGGATTAACAGAAAAGCCAGTGATGGTGAAACTTAAGTGGGGAATGGATTACAAAGGTAACTGGTATCTGTAGATGAACCAGATCTATAGATGTATCTATATGAACATGTAGCTTGCAAATACAGAAGAATACATAGTTGGGGTATTGTCTGGACATCTGGATGAAGTTTTACTAAACTATAATAATGTCCTTTGTCTCAGAGGTGTGGAAAGAGGAAGAGGATGGGAAAATGAGAGAATAGCATCTTTTCTGGGGGATTTTTAAAATATATATTTCTAGACAATAAAAATTTGTTTTTCAAATAAATAAATGACTCTATAGCACCCTCATATACTGTCAGTTCAGTAAGTTGTTAACACCTTTTGGAAGGCATCTGGCATTATAAATCCTTAAAAATGTGCATACCCTTTGATCAGTTCTATTTCTGAAATTATATGCTAAGGAAGCAATCAAGAAAACAAAGATTTATAAAAAGAGTATTTACTGCATATTTATTTTAGATAATTAAAAATAATACCTTAAGCTGACTCCAGTGACTTAAATCTATAATCTCAGCCCTTTGGGAGTTTGAGGTGGGAGAATTGCCTAAGGCAAGGGGTTCAGGACCAGTCTAGGCCACAGAGCAAGACCCTGACTGTACAAAATTTAGCTGCATGTGGTGGTATGTGCTTATTGTCCCAGCTACCCAGGAGGCTGAGGCAGGAGGATCACTTGAGACCAGGATATGAGGCTTCAGTGAGCTATGATCATATGATTGCATTCCAGCCCAGCTGATAACACCCTGTCTTTAAAAATAAGAAAAAAAAAAAAAAGAATATTCAAAATCTTTAGCCAAATAATCCCAGTCTTAGAAACAGCTTCTTAAAATAATTTAAAAGGAGGCTGGGTACAGTGACTTATGCCTGTAATCCCAGCACTTTGAAAGGCCGAGATGGGTGGATCACTTGAGGCCAGGAGTTCAAGACCAGCCTGGCCAACATGGTCAAAGATCATCTCTGCTAAAAATACAAAAAAGTTAGCCAGGCGTGATGGTGCACGCCTGTAATCCCAGCTACTCGGGAAGCTGAGGCAGGAGAATTGGTTGAACCCTTGAGCAGATATCGTGCCACTGCACTCCAGCTTGGGTGACCATGTGAGACTAAAAAAAAAAATGAATTGAGTTTCAAAAAAGAATGAAAAGGAAAAGATAAAATGAGCATATCAGGATTATTTAGGCCTGAAAACAAACTGAATAATCAGAATGATGGTTACATGGTTAATTAAATTACCTGTGTCATATTTATTCCCCCGGATATTGTGACTCTGTTAAAACTGACAAATAGAAAGTCTAAGTTGGGGAAAAGAGGGACTTTTTAATATGTAAAGGTGGAAAACAAAACAGCTACCCATATAGAAAAAAATGTCAGATTCCTACATCTCATACTATGTTCAAAAATCAACTTCAGATAGATTAAAGTCTTAAATAGCAAAAACAGGCCAGGTGTGGAGCCTCACACCTGGAATCCCAACACTGGGAGGCCAAGGCAGGCAGATTGCTTGAGCCCAGTAGTTTGAAGCCAGCCTGGGCAACACGATGAAACCACTTGTATTTTTATTCTACAAAAATACAAAAATTAGGCATGGTGGCACATTCTACTTGTGAGGCTGAGGTAGGAGGATCACTTTGAACCTGGGAGGTCAAGGCTATGGTGAGCCATGATGGTGCCACCGTACTCCAGCCTGGGCAACAGAGTGAGACCTTATCTCAAAAAAAACAAAAGGACAAAAACAAAAGTTTAAATTTTTAAAAGAAAATAGCTCCTCAAATGGACAAGTGGAAATAACCAATGTGCACAAGTGGAAACAACTCAAATGTCCATCAACGGATTAATAGATAAGAAAAACTGGTATATTTATGAGGAAATATTATTCAGCCTTAGAAAGCAATGTAATTCTGAGACATGCTACAATATGGATTAACCTTGAAAACATTATGCTAAGTAGGATAAACAAGACAAAAAAGGACAACTATAGTAGGATTCCAATAATATGAGGACCAAAAATATGCAAATTCATAGAGACAGAAAGTAGAACCAAGGTTACTAGGGATTAGGGGGAGAAGGGAATAGGGATATGTTGTTTAATGGGTATAGGGTTTTTGTTTGTGATGATGAAATAGTTCTGAAAATGAATAGTGGTGATGGCTGCATTGTGAACATACTTAATGCCAATAATTGTACACTTAATATGTTTTAAAAGGTCAATTTTGTTGTGTATATTTTACAATAAAAAACCAACTTAGAAAAATTAATACACATGGTGGAATCAGTGGTAGACCAGTAAAAAAAAAAAAAATAGTACTTTTTCTGACATTAAAATAGAAAAGGATTTAAGACACAAAATACACTAACCAGAAAAGAAAACATTTAACCATATTAAAATTAAGAACTTGGCCGGGCACGGTGGCTCAAGCCTGTAATCCCAGCACTTTGGGAGGCCGAGACGGGCGGATCACGAGGTCAGGAGATCAAGACCATCCTGGCTAACATCGCGGTGAAACGCCCGTCTCTAAGCCTCCAAAAAATACAAAAAACTAAGGGCCTGGCAAGGTGGCGGGCGGCGCCGCCTGTCAGTCCCAGCTACTTCGGGGCGCTGAGGGCAGGAGAAAATGGCGTAAACCAGCGACGGGAGCCGGACGAGCTTGTCAGTGCGGCTGAGAATCTGGCCACTGCACTCCAGCCTGGGGTGCAGAGCGAGACTTCGTCTCAAACAAAAAAAAAAAAAAATTAAGCGTAACTTCACGCGGGAGGGGGCGCAAGTGGAGTCTGAATGCCTATAATCCCAGAACTCCTGGGAGGCCAAGCCCAGCTACGGCAGATCACCGTTGACCGGTCACCGGAGTGCAAACCAGCCACGGCACATCGGTGAAATTCTGTCTCTACTAAAAATACACGCCAAACACTTCAGGCCAAGTGTCAGTGCGGCTCAGTCCGACCACAACAACAACAAGTTACTCTCTGAGCCCTTGAGCGATGGCGACACTCATGTCTGACGCTGCGGAAGTAGCGCGACGCGCGAGTGAGGCGAGTGATTGTACCACTGCACTCCAGCCTAGGCAACAGAGCAAGACCCTGTCTCAAAAACAAAACAAAACAAAAACCGGACAACCAACCAAACAAAAAAACTAAGCACTGTGGAGTAGGAATGAATGATTTTTTCATCTTTATATCATGTGTGGATGAGGGTATCTCCTTTTTTTAGATCTCGTTTGCCATAGGGCACATTAGATTATATTTATTGATTGGTAAATACATAGATGAACGAATAGATTAAAAAATGATTATGCATACATCAGACTGAATGAAAAGTTATGAAAGAGAAATTTTTTAAATTTTTAAATTTTTATTTATTTATTTATTATTATTATTATTATTATTATTATTTTGAGATGGAGTTTTGCTCTTGTTGCCCAGGCTGGAGTGCAGTGGCGCGATCTTGGCTTACTGCAACCTCCACCTCCTAGGTTCAAGCGATTCTCCTGCCTCAGCCTCCCAAGTAGCAGGGATTACAGGCGCATGCCACCATGCCTGGCTAATCTTTGTATTTTTAGTAGAGATGGGGTTGCACCATGTTGGCCGGGCTGGTTTCAAACTCCTGACTTCAAGTGATCTGCCCGCCTCGGCTTCCAGAAGTGCTGGGATTACAGGCGTGAGCCACCACGCCCAGCCATATTGTTTTTTTTGAGACAGAGTTTCGCTCTTGTTGCCCAGGGTAAAGTGCCCAGGCGTGATCTCAACTCACTGCAGCCTCTGCTTCCTGGGTTCAAGTGATTCTCCTGCCTCGGCCTTCTGAGTAGTTGGGATTACAGGTGTCTGCCACCACACCTGGCTAGTTTTGTATTTTTAGTACTGACAGGTTTTACCATGTTGGCGAGGCTGGTCTTGAACTCCTGACCTCCAGTGATCCACTCACCTCAGCCTCCAATAGTGCTGGGATTATAGGCATGAGCCACCGCACCTGGTCGAGAAATGTTTAATATTCAGTTTATTCATAATCTCATTTTTCCTTCATTTTAGTAACAGAACTTTTTTAGGAGGCATATATGTATGCTGATGTGTGGTATGTATAGGATATCTGTTGAGAAGTCAGAATAGTTTCTGATTCATAAAGCTTATGGTAGACAAGAACTTAACATTGTTATTTTTAAAGGTAAATCAGCTTCTAATTTCTTTAGTTTGTTTAACCACTTTTCCTGTAGCTGCTGAGGTCAAACCTGAATTAGGCTATAGACTCCCCCTGCTGGGTAAGAATGGAGAGAAGAGCAGAAAACCTAAACTTGGGCTTGAAGAGTCACAGGTTCCATTACACTTATGTGTTTTCTCCACAGGGAGCATTTCCAGCTCGTTTGAAGAAAGTACTGATTGTGGGGGCACCCATATGGTTCCGAGTGCCCTATTCCATCATCAGCCTCCTCCTGAAGGACAAAGTCCGGGAGAGGGTAAGGCAAGCTCGCCCTTTTTTATTTGGAGGGGAATAGATACATTCTCATCTCTACCACTGAATTCCTGCCAATTAATTTTCTACTTTCAAAAAATCCTCTTGGTGTGTCTCCTAGAGCCTGTTCTGCTTCTGTTAGTGCATTCACTCATATTCTCTACCTGATTCATTAGTCAGTTCAATACAGACTGCCTCTCTTACTGTACTACAAGCTTCTTGAAGTTTGAAACTAGACACAGTTTATCTGGTTCTCACTTCCTATAGCACCTTGCATAAGATAGTACTGAAGGATTGTGTCCTGGAGGTAACTTAGAGATAGCTGCTACTTCCAAAATTTATCCTAGAGCTGCATAGGCCTTTAATATTTAACAGCTTGTAATATAATTGTATTCGTTGAACTGGCATTTGAATTTGTTCAACTGGAAACATCATTCAATCCCTTTGACCACCAGGGTTGTGGAGGAAAGTTTTTCATTATGTCTCTTTCTACATTTATTCCTGGCATTTGTTTTCTCAGAACATCTTGTTGCTTCCCAATTTCAAAAGCGTTCAAAATTACCTTAATTCTGGGCCGAGTGTAGTGGCTCATGCCTATAATCCTAACACTTCGGGAGTCTGAAGCCAAGGCGGGAAGATCGCTTGAGGCCAGGAGTTCAAGACCAGCCTGGGCAGCATAGTGAGACCCTGTCACCACAATAAAACCAAAAACTTTAATTCTGTTATAATCTCCTGAGTGTCTCATGATTAAAAGTTTTATGGTCTCAGTTACTGATTGCAGCCATTAAAAGATAGGACATATGAAAATGAAGACATTTGTTTCTGTGTTAGCGACTTAAACACCTAATGACACAAAGTAGGAGAGATCTTTTTTTTTTTTTTTTTTTTTTTTTTTTTTTTTTTTTTTTGAGACGGAGTCTCACTCTGTCGCCCAGGCTGGAGTGCAGTGGCATGATCTCGGCTCACTGCAGCCCCGCCTCTTGAGTTCAAGCAATTCTTCTGCCTCAGCCTCCCGAGTAGCTGAGAGTACAGGCACACACCACCACGCCCAGCTAATTTTTATATTTTTAGTAGAGATGGGGTTTCACCATATTGGCCAGGCTGGTCTCAAACTCCTGACCTCATGATCCGCCCGCCTTGGCCTCCCAAAATGCTGGGATTACAGGCGTGAGCCACCGTGGTTTTTTGTTGTTGTTGTTGTTTTGTTTGTTTGTTTGTTTTGAGATGGAGTCTTGCTCTGTCTCCCAGGCTGGAGTGCAGTGGTGCGATCTCAGCTCACTGCAAGCTCTGCCTCCCAGGTTCAAGCGATTCTCCTGCCTCAGCCTCTCTAGTAGCTGGGACTACAGGCGCATGCCGTCACGCCCAGCTAATTTTTTGTGTTTTTAGTAGAGATGGGGTTTCACTGTGTTAGCCAAGATAGAGTCTTGATCTCCTGACTTTGTGATCCACCCGCCTCAGCCTCCCAAAGTGCTGGGATTACAGGCGTGAGCACCATGCCCGGCCATGAGAGATCTTTTCTTTCTTTTTTGAGATGGAGGTTTGCTTTTGTCGCTCAGGCTAGAGTGCAATGGCATGATCTTGGCTCACTGCAACCTCCAACCCCCAGGTTCAAGTGATTCTCCTGCCTCAGCCTCCCGAGTTGCTGGGATTATAGGCTCCCACCACCACGCCCAGATAATTCTTGTATTTTTTTTTAGTAGAGATGGTGTTTCACCATGTTGGACAGGCTGGTCTCGAACTCCTGACCTCAGGTGATCCACCTGCCTCAGCCTCCCAAAGTGCTGGGATTACAGGTGTGAGCCACCATGCCAGCTGGAGAGATCTTTTCTAAGATAACTCTTTGAGAGGATTCCATAGGCAAGTTCTTGCACTTGAATGATAGGAATTATGCATACATGTATAAACTCAAAATATATTAAGTACTTTTTGTAGATGAAGCACTGGTTCCTGATAATTAAAAATTAAGTGAGATAGTCCACCCTCAAGAAGCTTATGGTCTTGATAGGGAACACAGAGATACACGTATGAGAACTTTGGCTCTGCAGGAACGCAGAGGGGCATATTGCCTCAAGCAGTCAGGAAAGACTTCACAGAAGAGGTGAGCTGTGCTGGTCCATGAAGAGGCAGAGGAGGAAAAGAAGGCATTCTAAGAAGAGGCAACAGCAAAAGAGATGAGCTTTTAGGAGGAAGAGCATCCCCATTCCACAGAGATCCTAAGGAGAACCAGTTAAGCTAATTTGCTCCAGCATGGCTATGTCCAAGCAAAGAGCAGCATTAAGTCTTATGATTACTACAAAAAAATTGTCTGGGCGTGGTGGTGTGCATCTGCAGTCCCAGTTACTTGAGGGGCTGAGGTGGGAGGATCACTTGAGCCCAGGAGGTTGAGGCTGCAGTGAGCCTTGATCGCGCCACTATACTCCAGGCTAGGTGAAAAAGTGAGACCCTGTCTCAAAACAAAAGTGTTATCTAACATTATTCCTGGGCTACCCTGCCTCTGGGTGTGTTGCTTTCATAGAATCCTATCTTTGTGAACAGTTATACCAAGCTGAGTAAAACACAAGCTAACAGGTCTTAGAATTGGTTGTCTGAGTATGGGGTTGACAAAAATAACTACTACCTATGCATTCTTAGTGGCCAAAAAAAGAGTCACCAGCATGCAGCGATGCTGGGAAGCCTTGTTAATAATATAAAGCTTTCGTTCACTATATCATCCTTTCAGAAGATGTATAACAGTGTCCCTAATTCCAGGAGTGAATTTTATATACATTCTGGGAGTTCACACTTTTATCTGGCAAATTCATAGGACATAAATCTCAGGCAGATGAAATGTAGTCTACTACTTTTACAGTATACCTTGTATTTCAGGAAAATCTCATCCCATCCCCCAAACCTGATATAAACACATTTATTCTTTATCACTCTCTATATGCCTTTCCCTCTCCCCACATGCTCACATGGTTCTTTCTAACTTTCTAGATTCAGATATTAAAGACATCTGAGGTCACGCAGCATCTGCCCAGGGAGTGTCTTCCAGAAAACCTGGGTGGGTACGTCAAAATTGATCTCGCCACTTGGAATTTCCAGTTCCTACCACAGGTGAACGGCCATCCAGATCCCTTCGATGAGATCATCCTGTTCTCCCTCCCTCCTGCCTTAGACTGGGACTCAGTACATGTTCCAGGTCCCCATGCTATGACCATCCAAGAGTTGGTGGACTATGTTAACGCCAGGCAAAAGCAAGGAATCTATGAGGAATATGAAGACATTCGTCGTGAGAACCCTGTTGGCACTTTCCACTGTTCCATGTAAGTAGGAAAGGTGTGGGCCAGCAGCTGGTTACCCGGATGCTTCTGGCGGGCTCTGGCAACAGCTCCTTCCACCCTTCACTTGCTTAACAGAGACCCTTCCTTGTGTTAGCCAACATCACTCCCACATCAATGATGGTTTCTCGCATGCAGAAAGAGGTACTTTCTGCTTTGGTGCTCTTGCCAACATCCTATGCTCTGAAGTTTCTGAACGTCTTTGGTACCAACAGGATAAACCTGTTGGACATATTTTTGGATATTTTTCTGAAATGCAAGTGTTTTTTTTAAAGTAGGTTCAAAATAGGCTACTCTCTATTCCAGTTCTCAGTGTGAGCGCTGGTTTGTTCATTTAGGCAGTTTCTCCCCATAACATTTATGGTATAACATTATATCTTGAGGAGGGGTGTAGTACACTTAAAATAATCCACAGTTAGTAAGAGAGTACAGTTGCCTCATAGGACTTTAACCCCTTGAGATTTTCATTCTACTCAAATCTTACCACAAAACCATCTAGCTAGTTTATAACTCTGGCTCATAACTACTTGATAAGTACTGTTGGCCATAGAACATAGATCCTCCCTTCCTTCCTCCCTCCCTCTTTCCTTTTTTTTTACTTTTTGAGATGGAGTCTCATTCTGTCACCTAGGCTGGAGTGCAATGGCATGATCTCGGCTCACTGCAACCTCCACTTCCCAGGTTCAAGCAATTCTCCCTGCCTCACCCTCCCAAGTAGCTGGGATTATAGGCACGCACCACAACGCCTGGTTAATTTTTGTATTTTTAGCAGAGATAGGGTTTCACGGTGTTGGCCAGGTTGGTCTCGAACTCCTGACCTCAGGTGATCTGCCCGCCACGGCCTCCCAAAGTGCTGGGATTAGAGGCATGAGCTACCACACCTGGCCTTTTTTTCTTTTTTCTCTTCTCTTCTCTTCTCCTTTTCTTCTATTTTATTTTCCTCAAATTCCTAGGTTCAAGTGATCCTCCTACCTCAGCCTCCTGAGTAGCTGGGACTATAGGTATGTGCCACTATGTCCAGCTACTTTTTTATTTTTTGAAGAGATGGGATTTCAGCATGTTGCCCAGGCTGGTCCTAAACTCCGAGGCTCAAGTGATCCTCCTGCCTCAACCTCCCAAAGGGTTGGGACAGGCGTGAGCCAGTGCACCCAGTCAGATTATTTATCTACCATATTACTGTCATTTCTCTTACCATGTTTTAATTGGCTGCCCCAGAAATCTCTTTCTCTCCAACTAGTGAGCTGTGTCTTTTGAAAACTGCAGAAACTAGGGCTGGGTGCAGTGTCTCAGGCCTATACCCAGCACTTTGGGAGTAAAGGAATAGGAGGATCATTTGTGCCCAGGAGTTTGAGACCAACCTGAGCAGCATAGCAAGACCCCACCTCTACAAAAATAAAAAACAAAAAAATTAGCCAGGCATGGTGGCACACTCCTGTTGTCCCAGCTGCGCTGGAGGATGACTTGAGCCGGAGAGGTCAAGACCGCAGTGAGTTATGATCACGCTACTGAACTCCAGCCTGAGTGACAGAGTAAGACTTTGTCTAAGGAAAAAAAAAAAAAAGAAAAAAAAAAGGAAAGAAAATTAGGGACGCTGTCCTAGTGGGTCCCAGCCTCATATTCCAACTTAACCAAAAATTCCCTCTGTGAGCGACACAAGTTATTTCCCTTCTCAGCACTTCGGTTTTCTTCTGTGTAATATGTGACTGCTGGACTCTGATATTCACCTACCTTTGTAGCTTAAATGTTTTAGAAATCTAGGATTCTGTGAGTACCTCTTCCCCCTTGTAAATCCTGTCCAGTGTAGTCAGTGTGCTCTGAATAAGATGCAGGGACAGAGTCTTTTAGCAAAGCAAAGAGGGAAAATAATGAGACAGGGAAAGTCAGAGAGAAGAGGCACTTGAGAAGAAAGTCATTCACAGCAAGAATGCAAATGAAAATAAGAGGAGAAAAAGGGGACACAGACCACATATCAACAAGGGAAAGTATTCTTTTCTCCCATACAGCTCTGTTTCTTCCCTACCAGCTCCAGACCCCTATTTTATTTAATTTTTATTTCATTTTATTTATTGTATTTATTATTTTTTTATTATTATTTTTAGAGACAGAGTCTTGTTCTGTCCCCTAGGCTGGAGCATAGTGGCATGATCATGGCTCACTGCAGCCTCCATCACGTGATGCTCAGTTGATTCTCCTGCCTCAGCCCCTTGAGTAGCTGAGACCACAGACATGCACCACCATGCCTGGCTAATTTTTTAAAATTGTTTGTAGAGTCTCCCTATCTTACCCAGGCTGGTCTTGAACCCCTGGACTCAAGTGATCCTCCTGCCTCAGCCTTCCAAAGTGCTGGAATTATAGGTGCTACCTATGCCCAGCTACCAGACTCCCTGTTTACATCCAATCTCTTTTGCAAACAGAACCGTTATTCCGTTAAAGTCTTTTTTGTTGTTGAGACAGAGTCTCACTCCATCGCCCAGGCTGGAGTGCAATGGTGTGATCTCAACTCACTGCAACCTCCGCCTCGTGGGTTCAAGCCATTCTGTGCCTTAGTCTCCCAAGTAGATGGAATTACAGGTGTGTGCCACCACACCCAGCTAATTTGTGTGTGTGTGTGTATATATGTGTGTGTGTGTGTGTGTTTATTAATTAATTAATTTACTTATTTAGAGACAGAGTCTCACTCTGTTGGCCAGGCTAGAGTGCAGTGGCACGATATCGGCCCACTGCAACCTCCATCTCCCATACGCAAGCAATTCTCGTGCCTCAGCCTCCTGAGTATCTGGGATTACAGGCATGTGACACCACGCCCAGCTAATTTTGTATTTTTAGTAGAGATGGGGTTTCACCGTGTTGGCCAGGCAGGTCTGAAACTCCTGACGTCGGGTGATTCACCCTCCTTGGCTTCCCAAAGTGTTGGGATTACAGGCGTGAGCCACCGTGCCTGGCCTAATTTGTGTATTTTTAGTAGAGATGGGGTTTTGCCATGTTGGCCAGGCTGATCTCCAACTCCTGACAAGTGATCTGCCCACCTCGGCCCCGCAAATGCTGGGATTACAGGCATAAGCCACCGTGCCCAGCCTCCCTTGCAGTCTTAAATCAAGGAAGTACGTTGGAGCAGGGAGGAATGCTAGGCTGATCTAAGAGTATGCACACTTATCCTGGGGATTCTTCACCTTGCTCTTGGTGCTTCTGCAGCTACCAACTGCTGTGAGGTCCTTGAGATGTCACTTCTACTATGGAGTCTCCCCTCCTCCATTAAAAAAGTGGGTTTGGCTGGGCGTGGTGGTTTACGCCTGTAATCCCAGCACTTTGGGAGGCCAAGGCTGTGGGTCACAAGGTCAAGAGATTGAGACCATCCTGGCCAACATGGTGAAATCCCATCTCTACTAAAAATACAAAAAGCTTACTTGCGCCATGGTGGCATGCACCCTGCTAGGCCCAGCTACGCCGGCGGAGCTGAGCAGGAGAATTGCTTGAGCCCAGGAGATGGAGTTGCTGTGCAGACCTGGAGATTCATGCCACTGCACTCTCCGAGCCTCGCGCGACCAGAGCAAGACTGGTTCAACAAAAAAAAAAAAACAAAAAACGCTGGGTTTAGATCGTCCTTGTTGCATCATCCAAACCAAGCTACCACTCTATCACCACACCTCCGAACTCTCATCCAATGGAAGGACTCTTACTACAGTCTTTCCCTACTTGAATGATGTGATTCCATTGATAATTTAAAACCTAGACCTCATCCACCTCCGGCTTAGGCAATTCACCAGTAAGCTACTCTACACGACACACAAACCATGTTTCTTGCACATCTACTGGACTTATCCGCAATGGCTATCCAGTGTAGTACCTTCCACTCTTGGCCCACAGAATTCCCCCTGGGAACCAAGAGACTTTCGTTTCCCTTTCTCTTGTTTACTATTTTCTTTTGCAGCATTAACCTGGCTTGTAAAATAACTAAGACATACATCCCATGTCACAAACTTTTGCATTCCCCATGATCAATCTGTCCAGCACAACTTAGTACGCGTCCAAATCACAGCCGGACTAGTTAATCACTCCATCCACAACCTCCACCAATCTCACTTCTAGACTTTCCCCAGTTTACTTTGTTTTGTGGATTTATTAAGATCGTCTCAATGCAAGTCTTGTCACACATGTAGTTTTGTGTTCTATCACCAATAGTCAATTATACAGATTCTAATCACCCCACAGATCCCCACGAGTTGCCTCAATTATTCTATTATTTATCTTTTTTTAAGAATGGGTCTGTCTGTCAACCAAGCTGAGAGCGCTAGGCAACAAACTTGGCCTCTAGGCACTCTTGCCTTCCCCATGTTTGAAGTGATTTATCCTGCCTCAGCCTCCTGATAGCTGCGGATTACAGGCATGCACAGCTAGTGCTTGGCGACATTTGGTATCTCTTTAGTACCGAGTTGGGAGTTTCACGTGCTGTTGGCCAGGCTTGTCCCCAACTCCTGACCCGTCAGCTGATCTCAGCCCACCTCCCGGCCTCCCAAAGTGCTGGGATTACAGGCGTGAGCCCTGGCGCACCCCGGCCTTGTTGCCCTTTAATAAACATATACCTCCTTGCCCACCACCTTCCCCAGTACCTCC